TATGGTGTGTGCAATAATTCAAAACATATCCACCCAATTCACAAAATAAATATGTACATAAATACAAAAAAAATTACAAAAAGTAAAAAGGTTTAAAATATATACAATAATTAAATAACTAAATTACTAAAAAATGATTTGGAAAATAAATGGTGAAAATAAATAAAAAGATTAGCTAAAATGGGCTAAACATATTGCTTAACTCTAATTTCTCCAATAGAGTCGTCATTCTATTGCTACTCGACATTCATAAAACTCTCGAAAAGTTTATTTAATGATTTGTTTTGTTGAATGTTTTTTGGTTTTGGGGATGTGAGTTATTTTTTTATTTCGAAATCGTTACCTAGTATTTAAGGAAGTAAGAATGTAAAGTGAAAACTGATTTAAAGATCCTAGGATAAAGAATTGGTTATGTCTTTGGAAAGATATCAACCATCCAAAAGCACCATTTTTCTAAGAAATGTAACATATCTACCTTAGTCCTAAAGTTTATCCCTAAAAAAATCTATTTTTCCCAAAATTAATCCTAGTCAAAATTTCAAGTTTTGTTTCTTATATCAAACTAAGTTCTTTATTTTTGTTTGTGATATCATATTGAATAAATCACCGGATCCCTCCATCGAGCTTCTTGTTAATTCAACTTTGGATCCAGTTTAAGTCTCGATATAATCGGTCGATCGTAGAATAACCTAATTACTAAAACATGATTGATTTGGCCAAAAATCAATATCTATTAAATATAAGATTTTATTAATTTTTCACCTAATATTTTCTATATTTGTTTTTCCCTTTGTTTATTTTCAATTACGTTTTTACCTAGCATTTTCTTTCTTTTCTTTTCATTTTTTCTTTTTCTTTATCATTTTTAATTTTTTTTGTTATTATTCTTTTTACATCATTTTTTTTAGCATCTCTTTTTTTCCTATTTCTTTTTTTTCTTTTTCTATAATTTTTTTCTTTTCTTTTTTTATTTGGTATTTCTTGTATTTTTCTAATATTTTTTTATTTTTATATTCATTTTTATTTTTTATTTTTTTGTTATTATTGCTTGAAGAATCGTCATCGGTCTTTAAAAATTATGAGACTCAATAATTCATCAATCTATTAATTACCTAACTTAATTATTAAAATAAATCCTAAAATTAAAAATTAACTAAATAAATTCAAAAAAATTCAAAAAATTAAATCTAAATTCAATAAAAAGAAATTCAAAATCAATTTATAAAAAAAAAGACTAAAATTAAGGCATTAGGCTTTTTAGGGTCAATGGGTCGAAGGCCCACTAGCTAGCCCGATCATAAAGGCAACCTCTCTTCTTCTCTCTTTCTCTTTTTCGGGATCTCGACCTGACCCATGTCTTATGTAGGTTGGGCTTAGCCCAACCCACTCTCTTTTCTCGCCTTGCCTAGGCTAATTCCCTACTTAACAAAATTTTCATTCTCCTAATTCTTTGTAGATCAAACATGACTCTTCCTTCTCTTTCTCACATCTCTCTTTCTTTCTTTTTCAACCTACCCGAATCCCCCGAACTCGATCAAATCTCCCATCTCCTTCATCCTTCAACCGAACCTAAACTTCCCCTTATTTCTTCATCCCAATTAGGGATGGCAATAGGTTGGGTAACTAGCCCATTAAGTCAATCCATACCCCGCCCACTAAAAAATGCTATACCCATTACCTAATAAAAATTATTTACCCATTTCTTTACCCGACCCATAACTATTATATCATACTCTACCCATACCACCGCCTATACCCATTTACTTGCTATTTTTTTCCTTAAATTGAAGATTTTTTTTCATTTTTTTATTACTGAATTTTTTTCCTTTTGAAAATCTAAAAGGATTGATTTATAATTTACATTTTGAAGGGGAAGGAATAAAGAAAGGCTTGAAGATTTTCTGAATCAAGCTCAACTAACTCGTGTGTTATGCTTAAGAACCTATGTTCAATTACAAGCAAACAATCTTAGATCAGCTCATTAAGTCCAACAAAATTCATAATCATGCTTGACACCCAAAACAATTCTCATAAAAGTCTTATGGCCTCGGTCATATGTTCAATTTCAAACAAGAACCAATCAACAAGATCCAACTAAAAACCTATGACCATCCAAAAACATAATCAAGAACATAGAGCGAGTGCTAAAGAAAACGAGTACAAGAGGTAAGCCACAAAACACGTCCGGAGAGGAAATGTGGTGCGGAAGTTGCCAAAGGCACCCATCACAATGCACATGATACAAATAACTAGCACTTCGGATGAGAAGCCCCAAGCCGGTCCCTTGTAGTAAACAACGGCCAAGAATACTATTAGACAAAGGACGTTATTCATAGTGACCGCCCCATATAGCTGCAAGCAAGAGAAGACATGAAGCTCGAGCACCTAAAATTTTTCCTCCTAATATAATATGCAAAACATAAAATTTTATGTCCTCATATAATATGCAAGACACAAAGTTACCTCCGAAATTGAACAAAGGATAAGTCTTTGTTTATTTTTTGTCTATATCTTCCTCAATATGAGAAAAGGAATCCATCATATTTGAAATACCTACATAAACACAATATAAATAAATAAAATAATATAATTCAAAATAATTTCTAAATAAATTTTATTTTTATAGCATAATAAAGAGAATTCATACCTTATATTTGATCTTATAACCAACTTTGCGAGCACATCAAAGCTTCCAAAGTATCCTTGTGTAGCCTACTTCTATGCAAACTCACTACCCTTCCACCAATACCGAATGCAAATTCGGATGCTACTGTAGAGACAAGAATAGCAAGAAATTCTCCGGTAATCACTTATAAAGTGGGATATTTTATCCCATTTGCTTTCCACCAACCAAGAATGCCAAGTTCTTCGATCCACGACAAAACCTTTTCCTCCAAATAATTATCCAATTCGAATTTTATAGGTGTTTTAGATGACTCAACACTAAGAATCTCAACTAATCTTGCAAGACTACTACGTTCCTCTCCAAAACCATCACTTTCCAATATATTAGTGGATGAGGTCGATGTGTCATAAGTAGAGATAGGTGAATCAATAATAGACCTATCCTTGTACTCATTAAGCGAATCATGACATAATCTTTTCATCGTTTTAACCTCATCGGATGCATATTCATCACAAAAAAATCTTTTAAAAAAATCTATTGCTTTCATCTTATGCCTAGGATCCAAAATAATTGCCACAACCATGACTAAATGCACATCACTCTAATATTTATTGAACTTTTGATATATGTTTTTCGTCATCCGAAGAAAGACTTAATCATCTAATTCTAATATCCACTTATCCAAAGCCTCCTTAATCTCATAAATTATGAAAAAGTAAGAATTTGAAGTGGGATATTTGGTGGCTGAAAAAATTTGGTTGAATCATAAAACAACTTAAGCTTCTCACAAACTTTCCTTGCCATAATCCAATCTTCTTCGAAGGCAAGGTATAATAATTTCCCTCTAAGTTTCAATCTAGGAAATACATCTTTGATTTCCAAGGCTATTTGAAGCATTAAAAATGTTGAGTTCCATCAGGTTTTACAATCAAAACATAATTTTTTACCACCACTAATTCTTAATTGACGGACCATATCATCAAATTTTCAACCCTAGATGGAGTGGTCGATTAATAAGCAACACCATCTCGAATATTTTTGATACTATTCTCTATCACATGCAATCCATCTTTCACAATTAGATTCAAAAAATGAGCACAACATCTCATATGCATATAATTTCCATTAAGTAAGCAATGACCACCCGAGTTTACTAACAAGTTTTTGAATCATACAATCATTTATGTTGTAATTGTCTATAGTGATCTGTTGATAACTTTCTCTGAGATGTCATGAAATTAACCCATCTAACAATTCGTCCATCAAAACATCTATTGTATGAGATGTAAGAACACACACAAACCTATATTTAAATAAGCGAGTTCTAATCGATAAACGAGTAGCCAAAACAAACAAGCAAAGAAACTGAAAGTATTGATTAGTATGCGAGTAGCAGAATAAAGCTCAATCCTAATAATTGACATTATATAAATGGATAATAAAAAAGATACCTCAATATGTAAGATTGGAAGACCCAACAGATCATCAATGAAATGAGCTATAATGCTCATATATCCTTTCTTCTAGTTGGATGTCCATATGTCGGTTGTGATAACAACCCTATTTTTGTTTTCTAATAAAATCCTTTGGAGCTTTTCCTTCTCAATATCATAAATTTTCATGACATCACTCTTGATTGTATTACGTTATACCATTTTGAAATATGATTGAAGACTTGCAACAAATTTCCTAAATCCATAATGCTCCACAATGGATAAAGGATACTCATGCAATTTGATAGCACAAGCAAGCTCCCTTCGAGATATTTCTTGATCAAAATTAAAGTTAACACGAGATGACTTCCCTTTTCTTTCCTTTTTCTTCGGAGATTCTTCACTTTTTGGGTGCATCAAACAAGTATTCACATGATAATTCAAACTTCTAGTCCTGCTATTCTATTTAGCTTGAAGTCTTTTTTGACAAAAGTTACAAATAACATATTCTTCTCCATTAATCAAAACTTTTTTCATAAAGTTCCAAGCATTACTAGTTAGTTTATGCTTCGGATGAACTAATTGAATGTTTTTTGAAACGAGTATTTCTTGATGGACTAGAATTGAGAGATTCTTGAGTAATCGCATTACTTGTACCCATAACTTCATTTGTTGCCTTCATTTTGGGTTAACATCATTTGAAAATTTTACTTCTTGTTACAATCAAGAATTGGAGTTTTAGGAACTAATTTCCTGATTTAAAAAAAAGTGATAATTGGGACATAATCTGTCCGTATTAAGAAATATATTTAAACGCACACGAGATAATACCGCTACGCTTTAATATTTATGCTTGTGTTATTGTTGAAATTTCACTACTCTACTATAAGCAACGGTTTGCAAGGCTTCATCACATGTAGAAAATAGTAAAGTACGACCAAATGAGGGATACACCAATTACGGGTGTCATTATGGAAAGCTACTTAGTAGTATTTTATGGGTGTAAATCTCAAAAGAACACCAATTCGGGTGCATTTGTTAATCAAGAGAATGGTAGAATCAATCAAGTTTCACCCCATGTTAGACAACTAAAAAGGAATCCTAGAGATGCGGATGGAGGGTTACATAAGAAACTAATCAACACAAATTTATTGGTTGGCATTACATAAATGGAAATTCTAAAAAAAACTAAAAAAGAAGCGAAACTACTTAAAAATTAGTTAGAAGACTATAAACGAGTTATCAGCACAAGTACAAACTTAGACACTAGTAAATTCTCACACAACTATGACAAGGTTACAAGAACTAGAAAAGAATACTCTATGATAGTGGAAAACTACCCGTTACCAAAGGCATTATGGCAATGTGAACAAGCGAGTGTTCATATAAATCCAAACTAAATTAACCACCTAACAAACTTGCATCAAGCACATTAAATTCAGCTCACAAGATCCCGAATGCACACGAAGTGTGTGGCATCTTATTTTATAGTTCATCCCAATCAAATCCAGCTATTATATTATTTGCAATTATGATAAAATAATGAGCACTCATATTACAATTGGAAGATCATCGGTCAAAAATTAAATCTCCAACAACTTTTCCACTTATATATCAAAAAAGTTTTCGAATGTTCTACATCTTCCTAAATTTTCAATATTCCTCCGATGCATCTCACGTGCTTGCTAATAATCTATGAGAGAATTTAATTTAGATTTAAAAGATGCAATCGAGTAAGAAGTTTATAGAACTAAGAAAGGCCTTTGGCTAAATACTCCGGACACAATGCTCGGCTATAAATGAGTGGGAAAATATTTCCACCTTCTACAGTATACACTAACCCATACACTTCAAACTTAAGACGGCATTAGAGATTCGATGCAATTATGCATCATGCAACATTAACGTCTATAAAGGAGAAGTTTTGGACACTCGATTCTTACGAGTTCATATTTCAACATCACCATTCCTCTTTGTCTATAAATAACAAATTTATTGGTTGGCATTACATCAAACCGTTGACGTGCAACTTAGAATTAGCTTTCTTTTTGTTTAAAATGCACAAATCCCACATTCTCATTTCAAAATTTCAATTGCAACTTTAATATAATGCAAATCAATTAAAATGACTAACTATATCTAAGTAATCAAACAAAAAAGAAACTAACCAAGCTCGTTTTCTTATGATAGGCATTGTAGAGAAGGATCGGAGTCAGGCGCTATACAACAACAAAGAGATTGTTGTAATTTTGGTTCAATGATGGAAGAGTGGAGGTGGTTCGATGGTGGAGGAAAGGAGGTGGTTCGGTGGTGGAGTGGTTTGGCTGCAAAGGAGAAGAGGTGGTTTCATTGTTCAACGATGAAGAGATTGTGTTATTTTGTGTTTTACTTTTTTTTATATTAATGGGTAAAATATGGGTATCAATAAGGTAAAAAGAAGGTACTCATATTCATGAATAAATTATCCATTAATATAAATGGGTAATATTATACTACGCAAATTTAGCCCATTACCCATTAGGACACTTTTAAAGGATAATTAATGGGGAGGGCAAGGCGAGGTACCTATTTTGTATCCGACCTACTTGCCATCCCCAATCCCAATTCTCTCGCTCGACTAATTAGTTAATCTATTCTCTTCTTTTTCAACCTCTTCCGTCAAACCATTAAATTTTTAACCCACCCTTTTGTTTTTTCTTCCTCTCTATCTCTTACACGCCCGGATCTATTTAATTCCTCTTGAGATCGAATGATTTCAACCCTTTTGAAACCCTCATCTCTTAAAAAAAATCCACCTAATTCCTCAATATCTCTCATAAAACCTAGAAACCCGAGGGTTGATTCCAAGTTCTACCTAGGATCGAACCTCTTTTTAGACCTAAATCGTTCCTCTCTTCTCAATTGAAACCCCTAAGAATCAAAATTAAACTACTAAAACTCAAATCCAATGCCAATTTTAAAAGCTCAACCCAAAATTATTTGGTTACCTTAAGTCCGATTTGAACCCTTCAAAAATAATAACAAGAAGGTGTATGTGATTGAGATGAATTAGTGGTCCTTTTAGGATGAAAGTGATGAACATCACCGCCATCACCCTTCAAGGAATATCTTGGGATCGCATTGATGCAAATGTGGGAGTGAATTGAAGAGAGAATCTTACCTAGATGCCCGATCGGTAGAGCTCGAGTGGGCAATTATAGTATTAGATGGTGTACTTCTAAGGCCATAGAATCACGAGAGGATGAAGATGCCGATTTCGGTAGCCATTTCCTCTTCACGACTTAGTAAGACCATCCGAATCTCCTCTTATTGGTTTTTATTTCAATTTGTTACCTTCTCTTATGTTTTCCTAACAATCCACCTAGTTGATTTTAAACTACCCCCGTGTTTCTCCCAATAGCCTCTCAATTACTTTTGAGTTCCCTCGAATTCCCTCTTAGAATTGTCTCAAGATTGACTCGATTGTTTCGTATTCTCACAATTCTCCTCCCTCAAATCTCCTCTCAATTTCTCTCTTAATTCCTCTCAATTCTTAATTATGCTCTCAAATATCCCTAATTGCCTCTAGATTCCTCTCTCAATACCTCTCTTTTTTCCTCTCAATTCTCCTCTATTCCGCTCTTAATTCCCTTCTCTATTTACATTGGAAAACAGACTTCACCTCCTCTAAATTGACATTAATGGCGAGTTTTTGGCTTCTATATAAACAAAGCAAAAAAATATCGATGTTTTTGAAATGTGCCTAATGTTTACCTGTTTTGGGTATGTTGGTTTTGCGGGTTACAAAGGTAGGATTACAAGGCTTGTAGGTTGCGGGAGCTTTGTCCCTCCGGCTACTAATGAAGATGAATAGTGCTAAACGATAGTAAAGTATAGGACATGCACGCCATGTCCGGAATTTAGGAGCAACTAGACAAGAGTTTGAGAATTCAATTAGTTCTCTGTAGGTTTAGATTTGTTTCAATTGTAATCTTTAGGAGAGTCATTATAGTCCTTGAATTTTTAATTTTTTTCAATTAGATCCATGTATCTTGTAATTTTAGTCCTACGGTTTCCAATTGTTTCAATTATACCTCCTATTACTCTAATTGTAACTTTATTTAATTCAATTATGCTCCTAACAATTAAATTCCTTTGATGTTTTTATATTTTTGGTTTTTTCCTATTTTTTTTAATAAATTCTAATAATGAAAATATAGAAAAATAAAATAAAAATAACATTTTAGGGGAGGGAAAATTTGGGTTATTGTAATCCAATAATAATTGTTTTGTCCAGTTTATTTGAATGCACAAGAAAAATATCCTCTATCACATCCTAGATTATTTTGTCCAGTTTGATGGAGCTTCCAAATTGGATAGATTTGAGAGCCAATTTCATGGGAGCTATTAATAATATGGTCTTGTTTTGACCTTTTCTAAGATGGATTAATAAGGAAGAAAAATCAACATTACCTAAGCTAGAATGGTCACCCTTGGTCCCATTCAGAATAATGAAGACAGATTTCTTAAGATAGGTTTTCCATAATCTCTGGTTGTGATTGATCCTTATTGGCTTATATAAGGCCAGTGAGGCAGCCAAGAAAATAGTGTGGGTTTATTTTTGAGAACATAATTAAGAGAAGTACTTCTTGCTCATGGCTACTCCCATTTCTCCCATCTCACTTCCCTTCGTCCTCTACGTTTTTCTTGTTCTTCTATGCTCTTTATGCTATTTGAAGAAAGGGCACACCGTTCAAGGAAATGAGACTACAAAAAGTTACTTCAGCACTTTTAAAGTCAATTCTCTTTTGCCATCAAGTGTCTGTAACCAGTCTGCCAAAGGTAAAACTATGAATTGATGTTTCCTAATATATATATATATAGAAGTAGATACACCGGTTGTGTATTTTGTAGTTTTTTTTTTTTAATAAAACAAGTTAAAGTTTCAATGATTTTAATTTATTTTATTATTATATAATGAAAAAGAGCTATTCCCTATTTCTGTAATACAAAAGTCAACAAATCTTCCACTATAAAAATAAGTCCTACATTTTTTTTTTTCCATAAGCATATATATATTAGTGGTTAATTCGTAGTTTTAATTGTTTTACGTCATCTAGTGATGACTAATTCATAGTGCATATAAACACTTTTGCTCTATTCAAAATTAAAGCTTTTTGAAAGGTAAATTTTAAATAGAAAGTAATTATATTTACATTTTATATATTCCTAACTATTGAAATATATATATGTATTTAATTCGTAGTTTTAATTGTTTTACGTCATCTAGTGATAGCTAATTCACAGTGCATATAAACACTTTTGCTCTATTCAAAATTAAAGCTTTTTAAAAGGTAATTTTTAAATATGAAGTAATTATATTTACATGTTATATATTCCTAATTATTGAAATATCTTTATTTTTTTTATGATCTCTCAAATTGATTCAATTTGAAAATAAAATATCATGACGTGTGTATCATATGTATCTAAGGAATAGTCATCTCAAAGTGATTTCTCTTCTAAATCGTTAAATTTAAGAAAATTTAGAAAATATGAAAATGAATATAAATTCATTAGATTTAAAATTTATTCCTTGGTAAATTAATTGCAAAATACTTTTTTATTTTTAAAATGTCCAATGTATGTTTTATATCTTCTATGCCAAAAATTTCAATCTTTTTTTTTAACTGTTATTCAAAAAGTTCGACAATGTATGTATGCTTAGAGAGATCGTCAAAACAACTTTTAGTTTGACTTATATTAGAGGGGATCAGATAAGAGTTGTATTCCTAATCAATTTTAATGTCTTTTCTTTATAACTCTTTTTTTAATTATAACTAATCAATTTTAATGCTGTATTTTAGTTCTCAACAAAGCTTCATCTCTAGAAGTGGTAAACAAGTATGGACCATGCATTCAAGGGACCGGACATGATCAGAAAACAGCAAATATCATTCCCTCAATAGCCGAAACCCTCCTTCAAGACCAACTTCGAGCGGACTCAATTCGAGCCCAACTTTCACTGAACTCAAGCAGTCGAGCTTTCGGGGATCTACAGACTAAAATTCCGGCCTCTGGTACTTCACCTGCCGGCGAATATACTGTTACCGTGGGTCTTGGAACACCCAAAAAGATTTCTCACTCATACTTGATACTGGTAGTGACCTTACTTGGACTCAATGTGAACCATGCTCAGGGGGTTGCTTTCCACAGAATGAAGAGAAGTTCGATCCAACCAAATCATCCTCGTACAAAACTGTTTCATGTTCCTCGGAATCGTGCAATTTAATTGCTCAAGGTAAATAAGCATAACTAATAGAATTAATATAAAATTATATTTTAGCTCTCAATATTCATCGATTTAACTTTTTGAATTAAAATAATTTTTTTATATGAACTCATATTCTTATTATCAAATAGTCAAAGCAATCTCAGCATAAAAAATTGCTAGATTTGTGCAATTTTTGGCACAATTTTTAAATTTAAATAGTTTTAACTTGGAGGAGGTGTGTCTTGCTAATAAATTATTGCTCAATTGCATTAGTATTCCTTGTAAAAAAAAAATCCAGAATTCGAATTTTTTTGTATGACAAAAAGAAAAACTTCAAGAATATGTTAATTAATAGATTGAGATTGTTCTTTGACATAAACAAAACTAATTATTAATCATATACTATATAGGAAGAAATGGGAGTGCATATACAACATAAAAGAAATGGTAGTACACTTTTTAATTGGGACAGTTTCAAGCATATGTTTACCATCCATACGTGCAGAAGGTGTACAGGGTTGTTCTTCCTCGAATTTATGCCTTTACGGAGTCAAATATGGGAGTGGCTACACCGTCGGGTTTCTTGCCACAGAAACGATTACCATTACATCTTCCGACGTGTTTGAAAACTTCTTGTTCGGGTGCGGCGAACAGAATGGTGGTAGGTTCAATGGCGCATCCGGTTTGCTAGGACTAGGCCGCTTGAGCGGCATAGCTTTGCCATCACAAACGACCGACAAATACAAAAACCTCTTCTCTTATTGCTTGCCATCATCCTCCAGCTCTACTGGGTACCTTAGTTTCGGTGGAGAAGTCTCACAGGCTGCAAAATTCACACCAATGAGTCACAAAATTCGAAAACTTTTACGGTCTAGACATTGCTGGAATTAGTGTTGGAGGCCGCAAACTACCGATAGATGCATCAGTGTTTACGACCGCTGGGGCAATCATCGACTCTGGCACAACTCTTACAGCTCTGCCAACCACGGCATACTCAGCTCTCAGCTCAGCTTTCCAAGAAATGATGACAAATTATCCATTGATAAAAGGATCCTCTGGCCTCCAACCATGCTATGACTTCAGTAATTATGCCAACGAAAATATTCCAATACCTCATATCAGTATCTTCTTCGCAGGCGGAGTTGAAGTGGAAATTGATGATTCGGGGGTCCTGATGTCCTGAGAATGGTTTGAAAGAGGTTTGTTTGGCATTTGCAGACAGTGGCAGTGATAGGAATTTTGCAATCATTGGAAATCTACCAGCAGAAGACATACGAGGTGGTGTATGATGTTGCTAAGGGAATGCTCGGATTTGCTGCTGGTGGTTGTTAACAAGAAATAATTAAGAAAAGTACTGAATCTCGAGCATTTAGGTCCAAGAAAATAATGACTCTGGGATTCATATATATAATAAGGACCATAGTAATCTCGTTTCTTTTCTGTAAACAAAATACTTTTGATAGAATATTATGCATGTATGTTCAAATATTATGTAATAATTATGGGATCGACTTGAGATTCAACATATGAAATTGAAGTTATATTTATTATTTAGGGTTATAGATTTGTATAAAAAGTCCTTGTGGTTTCTATTTTTCTTAATTTACATTATATTTTTATCCGGTTAGATTTCTATCGTGGTGTATATATATAGTGGAGCCGTATTCCTTGGCTCCAATTTATTTATTTATTTTTGGCTTCGGATTTTGGCGTTCTCCAACGTCCTACACCGTTAAATTATAAATTAATTCCTCTCGCTTTTGAGAAATAAATTAATTAATTTTTTTATTTTAAAACTTAATTATTTAATCATTTTAACTAGACCACTATTAATTTAATATTTTTTATTTTATAAAATATTTCTCATCAATTTTTTTATAATTTTTATTTTTTTCTTTTTTTCTTAAAAAAATCAAAATAAATTAAAAAATAAAAAAAAACACTAAATGATTGGGTTTTAAAGCTAGAAGGACTACTTAATTCATTTTTTGAAACAAAAAGGACTAATTTATACTTACTCGTTAAATTCCTCATCGTCCAAAGGCTTTTTGGTCATCGGAGGGTCCATGAGGTCCCACGCATCGTTAGAATTTTCTTCGGTGCTTCTGCATGAGCGTGACTCTTGCTAGCCAGTCTTGTTTTTTTGGACCAACCACTTAGTGGCATTGATCAGGCTAATTGGGTCTTCTAGTATGACTATTTTTAACCCGAGTTTTTCTCCATTACAGACTGGTACTCAGCCAAACCCACAACTATAATTATAACCACCCCACTAAAAAAGGATAATTGCACTATAAATTCATAACTTTTGATTTTTTTTTAATCGAATACATAAATTATAATTTTTTATTTCAGTATATTATTTTTTAAAAACAATTATCAATCAAGTACTTCCATCAATTATTTTATTAACTGATGACGTGTCTATCACTCTCAAGTCACCAAATTATAATTTTATTTTTCTCCATTGAGTACATGAAATTTAATTTTTTTTGTTTGAATGCATTAATTTTTTAATATTATCAATCTATTACTTTCGTCAATTTTTTCGTTAACTGATGACATATTCAAATATAGAATTATAATCTTATCCTTTTTCATCTAAGAAAACTCTCTCTAAATTATTCTACCATTTCAAAATTTGACAAAGAATTAAAAAATGGTAATTTTTTTTTTTAGTTATAAAATCTCAGATTAAACTTAGCTAAGTTTGTTATTAAAAAAATATCTCAATAATTAGGTTTAGGTATGAAAATTAAAGAAAAACACAAATAAATATTTTTAATGAAAAATTGGGTTAATCGTTCAAGAAGTCCCTCTATTTTTTTTTCTCTTAATCGTGTTCTTTTACTAATTTTTTTATTAATATCATCCCTCCATATTTATTTTGCATCTTAATATCGCTCTTCTATCCAAATTTTCGGTTAACGACATGAAATCTCAACAAGAAATGCACAGGATATTTACATGTGATAATTTTTTTATGTTTTATTTTTAAAATTAAATAAATAAATTTTTCAAAATGAAAAATAAAAAACCTAAAATGCCCCCATATAAAAACCCCCAAAACCCCTGTTCAGTTTCAATTCTCCCCTAACCTAACTCTAATTTTCTCTCCTTCTCCCTTCGATTATCTCTAGTATTTCACCATCTTTGAGGGTTAGGGCAAGGTGTTTAGAAGGAGTTGATTGAGGTCAGTTGCGGTAATAGGTGATAGTGAGGCTGAAAAATAAAGGAGAGGTGAGGCTAGGGGTTGTTGAAGATGATGGCTAGGGATTTGGGTTTAGAGAAGGGAAATGGGTGATTGTGGGTTTGTGTGACAGTGGCTACAGGGTGATGTTTCGGACGATATGGTCGTTGGGCGTGGAATTTTCTGAAATGAAAAATAAAAAACCTAAAATGCCCCTATATAACAACCCCTAAACTCCTATTCAGTTTCAATTCTCCTCTAACCTAACTCTAATTTTCTTTCTCCTTCTCCCTTCAATTATCTCTAGTATTTCATCATCTTTAAGGGTTAAGGCAAGGTGTTTAGAAGGCTAAGGAGTTGATTGAGGTCGGTTTCGGCAATAGGTGATAGTAAGGCTGAAAAATAGGGGAGAGGTGAGGGTAGGGGTTGTTGATGATGATGGCTAGGAGTTGAGTTTAAAGAAGGGAAATGGGTGATTGTGGGTTTGTGTGACGGTGGCTACAAGTTAGTGTTACGGACAATATGGTTGTTGGTCGTGGTAAAAGAGGTCTCTAGAGGATTGTTTGGCGTCTAGTGAGATGGGTTTTTGGCTAAAGGATGGGTAAAAAAATGGTTGATGCTGGCGTTCGGTGGTCGGGAAGAGAGGCTAGCTGGAGTTAGGCGAGTGATGGCTGGCGTGGTTATGGACAGCAAAAGAGAGGAGGTTTCAAAGGGAAAAAGTTTGTTGGTGGTGGCAGTTTAGGGTGGTGCTTGTGGATGAGAGAGAGAGTGAGAGTTCGAGGCAATGGCTTAAACAACAAGGATAAGAGTGGAGGTTCGACTAGTTATCCTTCCCATCCAAAACCACCCTTCCCACGCTCTATCAAAACACCACCCTTCTTGTTGGTGGGATTTTTTCATTATTGGAGATTCATCAAACTTGTTTATGATGGGTTTGTTATTAAAGAAATGGCATCGTGAGGGACGATGGTGATGGTAGCAGTGGGTGAAGGGGGAGGTTGGGCACGGGAGAATTGAAACTTAATTGGAGATTTTGGGATTTTTATATGGTGGGTATTTTGAATTTTTCATTTTTCATTTCAAAATTTTTTTACTTGATTTCAAATTAAAATCAAACAGAAAAAAATTAATAAGTGTCAATATTATGTGCATCTTGTGCTGATATTTGATGTCATTACCTAAATATTTAGACAGAGTGACAAAATTAAAATGCAAAGTAAACATCGATGGATGTCATTAATGAAAAATTTAGTAAAGAAAAAAAAAGTAAAGGGACCCTTGAACCATTAACCGATGAAAAAATATTACGTTTATGTTTCTTTCAACTTCAGTCTCAAAACCTAATTGAGTTTTTTTTTTTTAATTGCAAATCTAACTAAGTTTAATTTGGAATTTTGTAGCTAAAAGATAATTTTTTAAAATTTTTTATCAAATTTTAAAATAATAGAATAATTTGGAAGAAAAGTTTTTTGTAAAAAAAAAAGAAAAAATATAATTGGATATTTGGACACATCATCCATTAATGAAAAAATTAACGAAAGCATTTAATTGGTTGTTTTGAAAAAATATGCATACTCAAATGGAAAAAATTAAAGTTCATATATTGATTGATAAAAAAAAGTGCAAAATTATAATTTGATACTATGACGGTAACAAACGCATCATTAGTTAACGAAAAAATTAATATAAGTACTTGATTGATATTTTTAAAAAATTAATAAACTCAAATAAAAAAAATTAAAATTCATATGGTGAATTGAAAAAAAAAAAACTCATGGATTTATAATACAATTATCCCTTAAAAAAATGTAGTATCATATTCGATGGTGTCAAATCCAATTATCGTATCCCTCATGGTAAGGCTTATGGAATTGATGGAAATTGGATGATCCATGATAACTGTCAAATGCCTTTAATTATTGACTTTGAAAATTTGAAGTCTTTTATGAATAGATTGTTAACCAATAATAAAACATATTGAAGCGAAAGAGACAGGGTAGAACCCCTCGTCTCCATGTTGCACAACCACTAATGTGAAGAAACTTTCTATATGTTTGCCTGTTTTCGCCATTGACTGGCTAGAGGACGAGTTTGCAAATCACTCTCTGGACATGCAATCCCTCTTTCTTTGAAAGCTCTTAGTTTGATCCTTTTTACAAAAAACATACAAGAAAAATTAAATTTCATCCCATGTACAACCTCAAAAGATAGTGCCTTTAAATTTAAGAAATAATAAAATAGTATTTTATATGTAATAAATGTAAATATATACTTATAGTTAGTAATCACTTACATATATTTTTTATAACTTAATTAATAACTTTTCTTTTCTTTTTCAAGATTAAAAAAAAATTATTGAAATTATACTTAATTGTTTGTACGTAACTATTTTTACTATGGAGCAATTAGTTAAATACGAAAAAATAAGATATTCTTTTATAGTTTATTTAATGAATTTATTTAGTAATTGATAATCACTCACCTGTTACGAAGTAAATAGTAACAGTAATTTTTTTCCCTTGTATAAGGAACAGTGTACCTTTTGAGAAGGCTAATAAAAAATAATTAATTGAAAAATCATATGCTAAATGTTAAGAAAGATGCAACAAAGAAATACATAAAAAATAAACACGAATCACTGGATATTAATGAAACCCATTAGTGGATTCCACTTTAAAATCTAGATCCAATGGTCCATAATTTTTTGTTGTTTTTTTTAAAAAAAAACTAAATATTTTGTATTTTGTATATAATATTTGTTTTCCTATATATCACATAATAGAATAATATTTTTTTCCAGTTATGTTTGGTATATTGACTTTTGCAAATTGATTTAATTTTTTTAATTTTGATTATAAACAAATAATAAATATGTTTAGATAAAAATAACTTTCAACTTAAATCAAAAGTTTTTCACAAAATCGAATTAAAGTTTTAATTTAATCAAAAGCTCTAATTAGGGATTTCTGTTTCAAAAAAATAAATTTTTTTTTAGTCATTTTTACCTAACATATTTTTAATTTAAATTCATTTTAATTTTGTGAAAAACAACTTTTTGATTATGACATATACGCGTTGCTAGAATTGGAACCTTTCAATCGATTCCGTTCCAGATGAATGGAGACAATTCACATTGACTTGACTAAGGTCGGTCTTCCAAGACCTGTGGCTGTGATCGATCCATAGTAGCTAATATATGACTAGTGAGGCTAGCCAAGAAATCAATGAGGGTTTATCTGTGAAAAGTGAAGCATTTTTTTTTTCTCATGGCCACTCCCTTTTCTCCCATCTCATTCACCTTAGTCCTCTATGTTTTTCTTGTTCTTCTATGCCCTTTTTGCTCTTTGAGAAAAGGGCATACCGTTGAAGGAAACGAGACCACAAAAAGTTACTTTCATACTGTTAAGTTCAGTTCTCTTCTCCCATCAAATGTATGCAAGCAATCCACCAAAGGTTCCATTATGATTTGATCACATCTCACTTTTTAGTTAATTTTGTTTTATGTCTGTATCGTGTTTGATAGGTAATTTATTTTCAACTAATCGTCTCTATATATATAGTTGTATTAAGTTCGGTTTTCTTTCTCTTTCAACCCCAATAATTAGCTATTGTTGCATAATGACTCGTTAAAACAAATTTTAACTTATATAATGGGCAAGAGATAGGAGTGTTCATTTAACTTTTTAGTTTAATTTTGTAATATTTCGATTCGGTTTTTAATTAATCGAATTTATAAAATTAAAAATCAAACCTGAACCGAATTTTTGGTTTTTTTAAATCAATTTTTTTTAATTTTTTAAAATAATATAAATAGACCAAAATGTTTTTTCTTGCTTGCTTGCAAAGAAAGAGTCGAATTACCCTAGTAGGGGTTTATATTTGAGGCTTTGACTATAGCTTTCTGATATCAATTTAAAATACTGTATTTCAGTTCTCAACAAAGCTTCAACTCTAAAAGTGGTAAGCAAGTACGGCCCATGCATCGACGAGACTGGAGATCAGAAAGCATCAAATGTTCCCTCAATTGCCGAAATCCTCCTTCAAGACCAACTTCGAATGAAATCAATTCGAGCCCGACTTTCTATGAACTCAGGAAGTGGTAAATTTGAGGAGATGCAGACTACAATTCCGGCCTCTCAAATACCAAACGGAGGCGCATATGTTGTTACCGTGGGTCTTGGCACCCCAAAGAGGGAATTTACACTCTTATTTGATACTGGTAGTGTCCTTACTTGGACTCAATGTGAGCCATGCTCAGGGGGTTGCTTTCCACAAAATCAACCCAAGTTCGATCCAACGAAATCGACCTCATTCAAAAAAGTTCCATTTTCCTCGAAATCGTGCAATTTAATTGGTCAAGGTAATTAATTATTATTATTATTATTATTATTTAACATATTCTTATTTAATTATGATACTTTCTATCAACTATGAGAGATGAAACCAAGCTAAAAAGAAAAAAGAAAAAAATAGTAGTTGTAACATTTTTTAATTGGAATGCTTTTAACTTTCAAGCATATGTTTACCATCCATGCAGATGGGAGTGCACAGAATTGCTCCTCCTCGAATACATGCAATTACATGGTCGAATATGGGAGTGGCTCCACCAGCGGATTTCTTGCCACAGAAACGCTAACCATTACATCTTCTGATGTGTTTGAAAACTTTGTGTTCGGATGCGGCGAACAGAATGCCGGCACATTCGACGGTGCTACCGGTTTGCTAGGACTAGGCCGTTTGGAGGGGATAGCCTTGCCATCCCAAACTACTAACAAATACAAAAACATCTTCTCTTATTGCTTACCATCATCCTCCAGCTCAATAGGTTACCTCAGTTTCGGCGACGATGTCTCACATGCTGCGAAATTCACTCCAATATCTGACACAGGAAATTTTTATGTCCTAGACATGGTTGGAATTAGTGTTGGAGGCCGTAAACTACCAATAGATACATCAACTTTTACGACAATCATCGATTCGGGCACAACCTTTACATCTCTGCCCTCCAAAGCGTACTCGGCTATCAGCTCAGCTTTTCAGGAAATGATGACAGATTATCCTTCGATAGAAGTTCCATCCAACTTGCAACCATGCTATGATTTTAGTAATCATAGCAATGGCAATTTTACGTTACCAAAGATTAGTATCTTCTTCAAAGGCGGGGTAGAAGTGGAGATTGATGATTCAGGGATTTTGGCCCCTGTGAATGGGATGACAATGTGCTTGGCAATTCAAGGCGGTGATGAAGATTTAGCAGTTTTTGGGAATTACCAGCAGAAGACATACGAGGTGGTCTATGATGTTGCTAAGGGAATGGTTGGATTTTCTCCTGGTGGTTGTAGCTAAAATTATTGTGGAACCATCAACATGTACGAATAAGCTCTTGAACAAAGAGGGTCGGGCATGCCTCATCATTGCATGACATGCTAAGAATGTTTTTTGCTTAAAAATATTGTATTGATGTTGGAGTTGATCAAGATAATTAATTTAGTTATAGTTGTTGGGTTCTCATTACACATCAAATCGTAAGGTGAGAAGCGTTACTAAGATAGTACAAAAAAAAATTCGATTAACATATAAATTCTTAATGATTTTTATGTATATTGAGATCGTGTATAATTCAAATTTTTTTATTGCGATCCTAAATTTTTTTCTATCCAATTTAAGAATTCTATTATTATTATTATGTTATTGTTGTTTCAGATCCAAATTAATAACAACTTGTCACGTAAGCACACGTGGCAAGGCAAGCTTTAGTCAATTACAGCGTAGTACGTTATCAATTCAATCATACAATTTAGGTCTATCATGAAGCAAATTATCATTGGTTAGAGTTTGTCACTTGTGTTTATGACACACATTAGAATTTAAAACAATAACAAAATAAAAATAAAACTCTTAAATTAGATTTAAAAAAAAATTAAGATTTTAATTAAAAAAAAAATTCAAATTATACATGTTCTCCATGCCTGCAAAACCCAACTCTTAATGGAAAACCTTTACATAGGAAGTAGACAGTAAAAGGCTAAAATAAGCTATAAAAAGGGCAACGGTGTCGTTCCATTCAAAGAAGATCATAGAGAAGACATTTACATCATTTGATACAATGAGGCTCTGGCCCCCGAATACATGATAAAGCAAGTCAAAGACAATAAGAGCCCAAGGATCAGAAATTATGGCCTAGCAAGGTCGAAGACATAAAGCCTAGCCTACTAACAAAAGAATGAAATTATGAAATCCACCATTGCTAACAAGCTGTCTATAAAATTAGGAACAATTCAACAGCCATAAAATTTCACAAAAGAATTGCTATAATTATCAATAAAACTAATGTAAAATAATAGTTTATTATTTATTCATTATTTGAAACATTATTCACATACATTCAGATACACTATTCACATAAATTCGGATGCATTATTTTTTTCACCGTGTAGTGATATTTTTTTAGTTTTCAAACATTTTTTAATTATTCATTAAGAAAGTTTGCGTAACATTATACTTCGGTCCTTTTTTTTAAATATTATTTTTTCAATCTGTAAATATTTTTTGTTTAGTTTTGGTCTCCCTTTTTTATTTTATTTTGGTCGCTTTGATCCTTTTTTTCTCTTTGATTTTTTTTTATTGGTCATTTTTCCTCTTCTTTTTTATAGAAAAAATTAAGAAAAGTTTTCGTAACATTACACTTTAATTCTTTTTTAAAATATTTTTTTTCAATTCCCAAATATTTTTTGTTTGGTTTTGATCCCTCTTTTTTGTTTTATTTTAGTCACTTTGGTTCTTTTTTCTCTAATTTTATTTATATTGATCCTTTTTCTTTGATTTTTTTAATCAGAAATTTTAAGAAAAAAAATATTTTAAAACATTACAAAATAATTTTTTAGCTAAGAATCCATTAGTTTTGATATTCTTTATACTATTAAAAATTTTAGTTTGTGTAGAGATAAATAAATAATTTTTTTAATCAAAAATTTATGAAAAACATAAATAATAGTCAGTTAAATGAATTTTTATTTATTTTTTATTTGATGTATTTTGATAAAAGTTTAAAATAATATAGAAAAATCAAAATAAAATAATTTTTTAAAAATAAATAATGAGTAAAAAATATAGCTGCTACAAAAGCAATGCTGTAGCCTTTCTCTTGTTTGTCCATTCATGTTTTCAATGGTCAAGAATGTTAGCATGGGCCATTCCATTCAGGGCTGTCAATGACAGCCTGCCATTTCCTTAATGGATCCTATACAGAGCTGTCCCAATTCCCAAAACATTAAATTTTCAGCCCATTTGAAAAAAATTGAATTGATTGTGTCCCAACAAATTATTAGGAAGAAAAGTTCGTCAACTCGATTGTACCAAGTTGGTTATTGAGCAAACCGCCATGCTAGTACTTATGTCAGCTTGGACAGTCAAATCAAATGGGTGAAAGACAAAAAAAAAAAAGATGTCATAATCTCTTTAGCAACGTAGTTAGCATCCTAAAAATCATGTCTAGACCCAGATGGGTAAAAGCTTAAAGCTTTTCTAATTTTACCAACCCAGTGATTTTGACTGATTTATGATGGTGGGCGCTGATCCAACTCTTTTGAGGAAGATAGGAGAAAGTGAAAATTATTATAATCACCAATTAAATTAACACTTTAAATATCAAGTCTAAGATGAATTTTTATCGTTATTGTTATTGATGGTTTGATGTGTCATATGAATATTTTTCATATTTTAAAATTAAATTTATCTTTCTGTTTTTTTTTTAATTTATCAAAGATCCATAGACCTTTATCATGTAGATAATCTTTCCTCGTTATACAATTATCAAAAAAAATTAAAATCATTAGGATTTGAATCTTATATTTTTAGAAAAGATATTTGATTATACAACCATTACGTTAAATCTGTTTATATTCATCTCTATGTTTCGATTACGAAAAAAATATTTTGTACTTAATTAACATGGAGGCAAACAATAATCTAACTTTAAGAAATTGATCACTTTGCTAAAGTTAAGTATTATTGTCATACACCTGTTTTTTGCATTTGTATGAACAATAAGTGACATAATCCCAATTAAATATAATATAGATCCTTGATTTGATCACCTTATATTAAAAACACTAATGAGCATAAATAAATAAATAAATAAATAAAATCAGCGAAGGGAGCATGTAAAGTTGGACTCTCTTGTCCTTTTATGAATGACAAGGTATAAAGGCAAAAGAAAAATATTTTTTAAATCAAAAGGAAATTGAGCTAAAGAAGATAAGAAAATATATACCAAAGAAAAGTTGGACTTTCTTGTTCTTTTCATGGATTACAAGGTATAAAGGGAGGGAGTAATATTTTTAAAATCAATAAGAAAATGAGTTAAAGAAGATGGAAAAATCTTTATTGGTGGTCCTATTTGATAAGGGAAATCTTCATTAAAACCTATCAATTGAATCGTTATTAAAGAATTAGATGGGAATTCTGGCTTAAAACAAATCATGTTTGATTATCTAATCAACAATTTATGGGCAATAATAACTGGCATTAATAATTAAAAGCCATGCTTAGTTAATAAAACATAAATTAAAAAAAAAAAAACTCATTTCTTTAAATTGTGGTCAATTAAATGTTTAGTTTCCATGCTTGTTTGATGTATGTGATTCAATTAGATTCTGGATGGTAATTGAGTAATCAATTTCATTTATTCTTTTTTAAACCAAACCTCTTTTTTTTTTTCCTGTTGGTAAAGCAATAACACACAATCCAAACCCTCCAATCCCAAGAACCCCATCAAAAGAGTAAATCATCAGTTGCAATACAAGTGTATCATAAGGACAAGAATTAGACTTGAAAATAATTATTAACAAAAAAATTAAAATAAAATGATCAGTTACTATTTAGCGTACTATTTGAAATACTATTCATCAAAATTCATTTATTATAAAATTTTAGTTTATGGATAGAGATAAATAAATAATTTTTCAAAAATTTATGAAAAATATAAAAAATAATCAATAAAATCTAAAATTTTAATTAAAAAATTATAAAATTAAATAAATTTTTATTCAATTTTGATTTGATATATCTTAATATATGCATAATATAACACGAAACATTAAATCAAAATAATTTTTTAAAAATAATTTTATATGTTTTATGCGATTCATAGAGTAGTATAGATAAAAAAAACTAGTACAATAACTAAATATTAACAATAGAATTTTAAAATTAGAAAATGTCTAACTATTTCTAATCACGTAGTTTTAAATCATAAATATGATCATAAAAAAGAAAAGAAAAAAGTCAAGAACGTGATTGCATATCATAATTGTAACTTATCACAATAGTAAAATAACAATTATGATAATTAATATTATAAATATATTAATAATTAACAAATTTAATTAAAAATATTTCTTACTTTTTTGGTACAAAATATATATATCTCGAAAACAAATATACTCAAAGCTATTAAATAACGACCGTTACTTTATTTAGAAATATGTTTAAGCACTTAGGTTTGTTTTTTCTTCTATGTTTGTCTTGAATGAACAAGAACATTTCATGGCCACAATTCCATTTCACACCAGGATAGAATGACACCACCTACCACCAAAATCTACACAGCGCATAATGTCCCTACCAAAAAGCATCAAGTGCTTTAAAACACAATAATACACGCAAACCTAACCGTGCCGACCACATCACTCCAAAGCAACAAACTCGTTTTTTCCTTTTTCCTTCCTTCAACCCCCCACCCCCAATTTCAGCCATCTCCCTTTCTGCCCACTGATCTTCAAAATAACCCTCTTTATAATAAAACCAACGCATTCCAAAAATAAATAAATAAATGCAAATTTCTCAATAATTTCTACAATAATTGATTCAAAAACACTTCAATTAATCCAAAAATACTAACATTATAAAATAAATAATAAACGTCATCAATATCCCCCAATCTCGAGTCTATGAAACAAAATAAAAAAAATAATACAGTAGATGAAAATTAAACAGCAAAATGTCACATAGATTAGAGAAGAAATCAACATTGTTTTTTCTGTTTTTGTTTTTTCTGAGAAATAATTCCAACGTTGTTATTTTCATGGTTACCATTTTTTTATTATCTACAACAACCACCGATCCCCATTAAAAAGGGATGAAAAAACCCAAATCTCAAAAAAAAACAAAAAAACAAAAAATTAATAATCAACAACACCGAGCCAATCAATCCTCCTCCTCATCACCAGGCTCCACCTTCGCAAAGCCCGACCCACGCGCCAAACCGGACGATGGCGCGTCAACGCAACGGGCCGACGACATTTCCATCTGACAAACCCTAATCGCCCCAATCAACCTCTCCGGCAACTCCACCTCCGTTTGCGCCTCCACGACGAACCCCATATCGATAGTAACACTCGTCGTGTACCCCAATGCGAGATGCGAAATCGCCGCAGCAATTTTTGAGCTACCTATATCAACATCAATCTCGAAGTAATTTTTACCTCTATGGTAATTAATATCTAAAGCTTTACCTAATAAACACGCGCTGTAACTTCCTACCGCTTTTTTTACCGCCCATGGCCCTTTCGCAATCCGGTTCACGATCTTGAACCTTTGATTCCGAAATGCATCGTCGCCGTTGATGAATCTATAGAGGAGAGAATCCGACGGCAGAGGATCTTCTGTTGCAAAGTAGAAAACGGCGCTGTATTGGTCTTTTCCGGGGACTTGAAGGTTAATAGCAAAAATGAAGGACTTAAGGGACTTATTTTGGGATTGGGATTTCTTTAAGGCGTTCGCCACTCGGTTATCTGGACGAGCGAGTACGTTATCAAGCTTTGTACTCGATTTGAGCCAGTCCATACCGGCGGGTGAGAGTAGGTAGTCGCCGGAGGGAGATTTTTGTTTTTTGGTGAAGTAATTTTTTGAACGGAGAGAGAAAAGATCACCTGGTGGTGAGGCCCAGCCGTTAACACCAGTGTGTAAGTCCACGTGGCGTAGTGATCCACCGTTGATTGATTCGGTGATCCAATTGGGTGTTGATGATGATCTGGATGTTGTGGATTCTTGACCGGAGCTCCGGTGTGTCTGTTCGGTCGGGTGCATGATGGTCTTTTTGGTTCTTTTCTCTCTCCCTCTCTCTAGAAACGATAACAGAATTTCTCTGTTTTTGGGACTCTTTTTCGGCATGAGAGCGCAGAAAGTGTAAGAGGTGAGTGAGGGTATTATTCTGTTGGAGTGAGGGATGAAGGAAAATAATAATGACCTTAGGTTTCTAGAAATTTACACGATGAGCCATTCATAGTAAGATTAGTAGTACAATTGGTCACTGTAGTCGTAAGTTTGTGTTGATTTGATCCTCTGACATTTTCTTGTCATGATGTTATCCCCTGTCTCGATTGTCATCCTATAGATTTTTACATTATATTAACTAATTTATTTTGAATGTGCAATGTATTTTTTATTTATAAATATTATCCATATAAAAAGAGAAATGAAATTTATGACAATGACTAGTATTTTTCTTCAATCCTACAGAGTGCGAAAAATATTATATTAATTTTAAAGAAAAAAGATCTTATTTTAATCTAATATTAATTATTTTAGATTATAAAAATTACGACATTACTATAAGATAGGTATAATTCTTTCTTTTCTTGTTTTTATTTTTATTTTTAATACTCAAACAGTCAAACTATTGTTTTTTTAATAGATTCAATTATAAAATTCATTTATTTAGAATCTATAAGTAATTTTGAGAATTGATTCTTTTAAAGCCTATTTTTCTTTTCATTTTTTTGTCGATCATGCAAGAAGAAGGTATAGTATATTCAAAAATGGATGTTTTGGCATTAAGATGTAATTTATAAATAATTTCAAAGCACGTATGAGAATAATTTATTATTCAGATTCGGACATAAGTCAATTAAATTTGAAATGTTATTATTCTTCTTTCTGATTTTAATTTCATTTCACATTTTCTATTAAATACAATTACGAGCTTTATCAACTATTGTGGACGATGGACCTTGAAGTAGGTTAACAAAATGACTAAATGTTCACAAAACTGGAACTAAGGGGATGATCATTGATGGAAAATAGTAAAAGGACCATACTGAAATAGAAGTGAGAACAAAAGGATGAAAGGATCATTAGCCCCACAATCGTTTGTGTCATTGCATGCCAGCCCTTTTTAATTGTATTTTTGGGTTTCTAACGAGATTCCCTTCCTCAAAATAAAAGAAAAATTAAATCATTCCATGCGAGAAATACTGTAAATTATTATGTTCATGTATCCATCGATCTTTAACAAGCATTCATGTTTGTCTGATTTCAAAAAAGGAAGTCAACTGGCTGATAAATGAATTACTGACTACCGGTGACCATAAATTATTTCTGAGTTTTCGTCGTCTAGTCTAACTGAAAGATGCTGTTATTCAAGCAATAGATTATATATTACAATGTGATGTATTGATCAAAAAAGAAAAGGGAAATGTTTTGGTTAGTTGTTTTCACGAGCCTAAGACAGAATTTTGCCGGAAGAAAGATTTTTTTAGCGCTCAATCTTTGATTTTTTTAAAAAAATTATTTTGATGTCTAATTATTGATTTTTAATGATTTACTATTTAAATTTAAATTTTTAATTTGTTTTGCTATCCTACTTTACATGAGGTTTGAGTTCACTTACATGTCTTGTGAGATCTACCACGTGACGATCAACTCTAAACATGTCAACACCTCATACTCTAAAATAATTGAAGATACTCAACTAGAAAAAAAAAATCAAAAGTTAGGCATTGATATAGGAAAAAAAAATTAAAGATTGGGCATCAAAAAAAAAAGTTTTTCAAGAAATTTATTGTCTCAAGATTGCAAAATCAATCCAATAATTTCTAATAAATATTTTTCATATCATGCTCATGGTATTTTTTTTTTTTTTGGTTAACATATCAAATGTAATTTTTTAATATTCTATATTAATTAAAAGGAATTTTTAAAAAATTCTAAACCTCTTTAAGTTGTCTAGACGAAATTAATATTATGTCATTTAGCCAAATATATATAAAGTCCCATTAAGAGTAAATCAAGAAAAATTAAAAACATATAAGATTCAATTAAGATTGTCATTTGCGGAACAAATGGTTAGTCAATGAAGAAATTTATAAAAAAAACAAAAATTGCTTCTTACGTCTAGAGAAAAGATCGATCAACATATAATGGGCGACATAAGCTTTTTATAGCCAATAACTTGCTAAACTTTTTTATAGTAGTCGAGATAGAATAAAATCGAGATGAATAAGTTTAGCGACCAAGTTTTTTGGTTTGAACGTTCAAAGTGCAATACTTTTGGTAGCGATGAAGATAATGATATAGACAATAAGTAAAGTATAAATTAAGCTAAGAAGTAAATGGATTTTTAAAATTGCTTGTGCAAGTAGCGACGACGATAATGATATAGAAAATATGCATGCATGTAATTGCTGATATTCTTGAAATTTAAAATTATATGACTTTCAATAACTAAAAACAAATATATATAAAGATTATGGAAACAAAATATATTTATGAAATCTATTTATAATAATTAAAAAAAAAAACGATAGATCAAAGTATAAGAAGGGGATAGACATTTGGAATGAGAAAACTAAAATAAATTTCTTGAAAAAAATACATTTTCGGAGTCTAATTATTGAATTTTTTTTTTAGGTGTCTAGCATTTAATATTTTTTTCTATTTCAATTCCTAACCTTTGGTTTTTTTTATTTATTTGAGTGTCCATAAACACTTTAGATCATGACATGCTAATGTGTCTAGAGTTGATTGCCACGTGGCAGCTCTTGCGTGACGCATCAGAAAAAATGAATCTCGGGTGAAGTTGGATATCAAAACAAATAAAAAATCAAAGTTTGAGTAGCAAATCATTAGAAATCAACAATTGGGCACCTAAACAGAAAATAAAATTCAAAAATTGAGCACTAAAAAAGCATGTTCTCTCCAATTTTGCCTCGGTAAAGAGTTCTTTTCATTATCTCAGATGTGGCACGACGACACTGGCCATTTTCATGAGCCCAAGATAGAATTTTGCCTCGATGAAGGGATCTTTTGATTATCTAATATGTGGCATGGCCGCACAGTCTCATGAGTGTCTAATGCAAAATTAGCCTTTATAATTACATTTGTCAAGATTAAGGATAACTAATATTTCCGAATGACAAAATAACTAATTTATTCGAATAACATTGTTCAATGAGTCTCTATTATGAATGATATATGTACATATAGTTTTTTTTTTTTTTTTATCTAACGGCATATCCAAGCAAAAATTTAGAATATAAACCAACAGACTCATCTATCATTGGAAAAACTCTTTTGAGAAAAATTTGATCAGTTATAGCATGGAGAACCAAATCAACCTCCATGAATCTAAAACAAAAAATAAAATATCTAATAAACAAAAACATGCTATTTAGGCTATGCTGTCAACACTGACATGTCAATATAAAAAACACTTATTCTTTCAATTGGTAGTTAAAAAAAAAAAAAAAAAGAAATAAAAAAAAAAAAAGATCATTGTATCACTCTTTCCATGTAATTTGACTTTTTTTTTAACTATATAAGCAGTAAAGAGACCTAATTTGAAGGATTCTTAATGTTTCCCCTTGCTACTACTATTCACTTTTCTTCCTTACATTTTCATTATAGTTGTAATAACCTAGTATCAGTTAAAACTAAAATTAAATAAAAATTTAACATTAAATTCATGTGAAAAATGTTTTGAGAGTAAGAAATAATCATTAGGGATTTAAAATAATATTTAGAATAGTCAAAATAGTTTTTTCATGCTTATTATAAAAATTTATCATTATTGATTTTACGATGCATGAATAATAGTTTTATATGAAATAATTAATTAAAGCATGTTGTTTGTGCAAGAAAAATATTTTATTTCCTTATAATATTTTTTTGAGGGGTTTTGAATTGTTTTATATGATTGTATGAATTTTCTTGTATGTTATGAATATTTTATTTGAATTGTTATGTATAGGAATAGTGTTTTTAGAGGTAAAGAATTTACTTAGGCATCTTAAGAGTATGAGGAATTTTTTTAAGAGCATAGAATAATCATATAGGATGTGTGAGAGTGCGAAGAAAATTTAAATTAATTTTATTAAGTATAGGGAATATTTTTAATAGGAAATAGTGTGATTTTCACACTAAATAATTAGTTTAGAGGCTCAAATGAGGTCCAAAAATTATGAAAATTTAAAATAAACTCCCTTAATAAATATTTGAATTGATTATGGAAATAAATTGGATTTGTGAAGAGAATAGAATGGAATTTTAAAAGTAGGGACTAAATTGTATAAAATTAGGGACTCGATTGCATAAAATTAAAAGTCTAATCATCCAAATTAAATTATTTAGGAATGTTAAGGTTCAAAATTCAGTCCTAAATACTGAAAATAAAGGGTTATAAATGATTATTTGAATAAAAGGAGGATTTAGAAAAGAATAAGCCCTAGAAAACTCTAGAAACTTGGAGGACCAAAATTTTTCATTTTCCTCCGAACTTTGGCTGACCTAAAGAATTAATTAATTATGAATTTTAGAAAATTTATGGCTGAAATTAAGCTAAATGGAAGGTTTAAAAAAAAAAAGAAGAACAAATGGCTAAAAATTTAGCCAAATAAAAATAATTGATTAGAAATTGAATTAAGGGCTAAGATTTATCCAAATTAAGTGTAGAGATGAGGTCAACAAGTCAACAAAATTTTCCTATAAATAAGGGTGCTGGAAAAATTAAAAAGGGAAGGAAAATTGAAAAAAACAAAGGAAAATCTTGCAAAATTTTCACTAACAAATACCCAAAATAATCTTAACCAATTTTAGACCCTTCAAATCAGTGGATTAAGCTTCAATTTCAAGTTAGGAGCTGAATACCTTCAAGCGAGAAAATTAAAAGAGCTAATTCAAATTTAGGGAGAGAAAGGGGTGGAAGAGAATTTTCAAGGTTAATTTGGAGCCTAATCATATAAGTTAACCTCACCTACATCATAGACATACTTAATTTCAAGTCAATTTCATGTTTTATTGCTTAATTAAGAAAAATTAGGATTAGGGTTCTTGATGAACCAAATTTGAGGGAAACGATTTTAAGCTTATAAATTCATATAATTGAGATAGAAATA